TAGCTAAACCCCACACACACACACAAAAAGTAGGTATGTAATAGGAATTTAATCATTTATTATATTATTCATGAATTTGTTGAACTAAAAAGGATTTGATTTTGAAGCTACACAAGTAAAATTTCCCTTGGATTTGTTGGGGATGGAAAAAGACAGCAGCAATGTGATAGGCCAATGTCTGGTTTCATTTGACTAAAATCTGGAATGTAGCCTTTGTATGAGTTGCACAAATTTCAAACCAGTTGGGACTTGGATGGACAAAACATGTACTAAATCATTGGTAATGTGATCCTGTGAATGAAAAGAGTTGGAAAATGGCATATTCACTTGGTGTTTTGTCCCCTATGACTTTGGCTTCACCTAATTTCCCTTTGGGCAAGTGGTGAAATTTGAAACAAGAAAGCATTCCCAGATAACAGCTCATTCTTCACCATTTCCCCTGCATGATTGAAGCTTCAATTAAGTTGCTTTCATACCGCTAGAGGAGTCAATTTTATGAGGACCACAATGTTATTTTTTTATTTATGTTTAAAGAAATACCAAGGCTCGGAAATCAAGACCTAAAATAAATCAATATGTGTTCGATGAACTAAATGTCAAGGAGTTTTTTTTCTTTTTTCTTTAACAGCACGTTTGGTTCACGGAATGAATTTTGAGGTAATAAGAATGCTATTTCATAAGGAATGGAATAGGCAAGGAATAGAAGATGAATTGTATTCTATTGTTTGGTTCATGGAAAGAATAGACTTTAGGAATTATATTACCGTGTTTGGTTGGTTTAAGGAATAGAAATGAAATATGTTTTAAAAGACATAAATACCCTTATAAAAATATGTGGTGGTGTCGATGGGGCGGCGGTGGTGGTGGTGGTGGTGGCGGCGGCGGCGGCAGCGGTAGCGGCTGTGGTGGTGGTGGTGGCAGCGGCGGCAGCGGTAGCGGCTGTGGTGGTGGTGGTGGCGGCGGCGGCGGCGGCGGTGGTGGTGGTGGTGGCGGCGGCGGCGGCGGCGGTGGTGGTGGTGGTGGTAGCATCGGTGGTGGCGATGCTGGTGCTGGTGGTGTTGGTGGGGTGGTGGTGCTGGTGGTGGTGGTAGCGGCGGCGGCGGCGGTGGTGGTGGTAGCGACAGTGGTGGCGGTACTGGTGATGTTGGTGGTGCTGGTGGCGGCGGCGGTGCTGGTAGCAATGATGGTGGTGGTGGTGGCGATGGTAGTGGTGGTGGTGGCGGCGATGGGGGTGGTGGGGTGGTGGTGCTGGTGGTGGTGACGGAGGGTAAAATAGGAAATAGAAATTTTAGGCTATTCCTGATAACTCAGTAATAATAGCCTAATACCAGGGGGGGCCTGGTAATAGCTATTACCTTATCTGGGGGAATGGGGTATTACCGGAATATTATTCCCGGTAATAGAAACCGTTACCAAACAAACGCAAATTATGCTGTGCAATCGAATGCACCTTGCAAGGTGCATATGGTTGTAAAATGGCGCCGTTTTGGTTAAAAAAACGCGCGTCCCACTTAAAGAAGAAATCAGGTTCGATTCCCGGCAATAGCATTTTTATATATCCAGAAATTCATAACTATATATCCACAAATTCATAACTATATATCCACAGTGAATGAATGAAGTAAAAATCCACAATGAATGAATGAATGAATGAATGAAGTAAAAATCCACAATGAATGAATGAATGAAGTAAAAATCCACAATGAATGAACTAAATATCCACAATGATTGAACTAAATATCCACAATGAATGAACTAAATATCAATAAATTCATAACTATATATTCAGAAATTCATAACTATATATCCATAAATTCATAACTATATATCCATAGTGAATGAATGAAGTAAATATATACAATGAATGAACTAAATATCCACAATGAATGAACTAAATATCCATAAATTCATAACTATATATCCACAAATTTATAACTATATATCCAGAAATTCATAACTATATATCCACAATAATGCTATTGCCGAGAATCGAACCTGAATTTTTTTTTTAAGTGGGACGCGCGTTTTTAGTCAAAACGACGTCGTTTTGCATCGTATGCACCATGCGCATGGTACATTCGGTTGCACAGCATAACTATTGACATACAAAGGAATAGGCCTATTACTGGGAATGTTATGCCATTCCCGACCTATTCCGTGAACCAAAAGGGCCATAATAGTAATAGATGTTAAGAGAGCTTTTGTTTAAATAATGATAGATAGTAATTTGACTCTACCTTGCATTGTAAATTCTGGTCCAAAAATAACATTCAGATTTAAAAAATAAAAAAAATAAAAAAAATGCAAATTATACCATGGATCAGGGTCTACCTTGCATTGTAGATCTTGGTCTAAAAATAACATTCAGATTCTGTATCTATAGTTGACATATTATGTATCTACAGTTTATATTTTCTGTACTTGTAGCTATCATATTGTGTCAGCAATTATCAAGTTATTTGTTTACATGTATAGAAATTGTTAACTGTAGGTATATAATGTGTTAACTGAAAGTACATTATTTTTGTATCAGGTTCACATGTGTTTACATGCACAGAAACCGTTAACTGTAGGTATATTAACTGAAGGTACAAAATTTTGGTCCATGGTATAACAATTGCTAAATCGAAGTGTAATGTGCCAATATATATATATATATATATATATATATATATATATATATATATATATCTACGATTTTGTGCATTTGGTTTGACATTGTTCCTTGAAATTTGTAAGTGAATTCAACATATAAATATTGGTATTATCCTTTTCTTTGGTAATTATTTTACAGAGATCAAATAGAATTAACAGAGATTTTAGACTGTGAAAATTGATGGGTCAGCCCAAAGCCCAATTGTCAGTTAACATTGATTGCCAAGACCAATAGTTTAGCGTAGTGCCCAAAAATTCCAATCGTTATATTGTATACAAGGCCCACAATGCATTGTGAGTGTCGTCTTATGCTAAGATTTTATGTGTATTATATTAAGAGTTTATTTGTATTCTGTTAAAGAGTTTATATGTATTATGTCAAGAGTTTAGGATGTATTCTATTATTCTGTTAAGAGTTTTATGTATATTCTGTAATGAGTTTATGTGTATGTTAAGAATTTATATGTATTATATATTATGTTAGATTATGTATATTATGGTATAAGTTTGTGTATATTCTGTTATGAGTTTTTAAAGTTAACGATAAAAACGAAAAAACGACGTCATTTTAGCTAGGGCCCTGATGCATGATATAATTTGCCCCAAAATTCACAACTGATTATAAATCAATAGAATCGGTCTCTTCTTTTATAATTTAGAGGGAAAATGAAAACATTTTTCCCCGAATTATATGCTTATATTATTTTTTTCTTTAAATTATACATGTATCTATATAATAAATACATGTATAATTCAAGAGAAAAAAATCAAGCACTTTGTCTTTTAATTGGGTCGGTTCAATGCAAATGGGAATTAATCTGAATACGGTACCAGTATCAAGATGCCTTCTACAATTACGACCTGCTTAAGACACATCGTAATTTGACCAAAATTATACATTTATCTATATTAGTCTCCTCAATTATTTTGAAAATGGCGCTTTTTCCTCATCTCTATGGGCTTTTGGATTTTCAACAATAAAGACACAATAGGGCAATTCATATCTTGCACCAGGATGCGCATTGTATTGTGCGCCCTGATGCAAAACAACGTCGTTTTAGATTTTTTTTTTTTTTTTTGAAATTTCGCTACCCTGTGTTGGCAATTAATTTTCTTTAAAAAAAAAAAATTCATGTTCAATGTACATAATTTTATACTAGAATACACATAATTGTATACATGAATGTACATAATTGTATAACAAAATACACATACTTTTTTTAAAAAAAGATAATACATATAATCTAACATAATACATAATATACATAATTTTTAACATAATAAACATAAATTCTTAACATAATACACATAAATTTCCTGTTCCGGATGTACATAATTGTATAAAAAAAGATATACATGATTGTATAAAAAATGTACATAATTGTATAAACAAATACACATAATTGTATAAACAATACACATAATTGTATAAACAAATACACATAATCACGTCAACTTCCTACATAACTTACCAAAACGACGTCGTTTTAGGAGGCGCGGACGCACAGTGCTACGCGCGCTGTGGTTCAGGGTATAACAATTCGCAAAATAGATATTTGAAGTCACTTCCATTCTTTAACAAATTATTGTTGAGTTAATACTTAATTTGGCCTCTTGACTATTAAAATTTTGCCACTTTGATCTTCAATTTTCAAACTTGCTAAATTTCATCTCGAATTATAAAATTGTTAACCAAAATGGTCCTCAACCAAGACTATTTTGATTTGAACCAAAGACTATTTTAGATAAAAATTGAATAATTGAGGATGAAATTGAACAAATTTGAAAGTTAAAGACCAAAATGGTAAAATCCTAAAAGTAGAGGGGCCAAATCGTGTATTAACTCAATTATTAATTGTATGTAAGAATCAGAATAAATGTAAAAAAGAATAAACATCATTTGTAAATATTATAATTAAAATTTTAAGATAATGCTAGTAACAAAATTAAGACTTAAATGTAAATTTAGCAAAAATAAATGATTTGTGTTTAAATCTTAATTCTGTTGCTAGCATTAGCTTAAAATTATTTTTGAAAATTTTGACATGCTAATTAGGCGAATTTCTATAATGCCTTAATGTTTAATCGTAGCTGTTGATTTGTTAGTTTTAATGGCTACAATTTGTTCATAATATTTACGTACGTACTCATGTAATCATGACCCTATATATATTTATATGAGGATTAGAATGCCATAAAGGGAATACATGTGAAGTTGAAGACATTCTCATACATTCTGCCAGGAGAAATACAATCTGATGACAAATTAATACTTCAGCAAGGAAAACCCAGAAATCTGCTGAATTTTCCAAATTCTTAGATGAAAAAGGGAAAGACTATAAAGATGCATGGAAACACAATCATAAAAACATTTATTCCACACATTTCTTTTGAAGATTTATACAAAGACAGCCATATATATGTATCTTACCACCATTCAACAAGACTACACATAGGATTATTCCATTCAACAAGGCATACATTCAGGCACAAATTTGCAGGACTCAAAGCATTTGAAACTGAAATTGCCTTTGTTCAGTCAAGTTTATTATTTTCTAGATGAGGCTTACCATTTTCTCACGGGTGTGTTTTTGGCTGTACTGTGACGAGATCTAAGGTAGAACCGTAAGCCCTGTGCAGAGCTTCAGCACACCAGCCATGGCCATCGTCCACTGTTGGCATCCTAACTTCCATAAAAGGAGTTACAGGGTGCTGGATGCCTGGAATCATAACTCCCGCAAAAACTCTCAGAACGTTTGAAGCGTCGATGTCCATGCATACATTGATCTCGGGAACGCCTTTTGGTGCTGGAGGCATCCCCGCAATCTTAAAGTAACCTAGGAGGTGATTCTTTTCCACGGTTATCTCGTCTCCTTCATAGACAAAGATTAATGCCTCAGCTTGGTTATCGTGAACAGTAGTGAATATATGTTCCTTCCTTGCTGGTGTTGTTGTGTTACGATGAATTATGGGTATGAATTTGTTACCATCAGCTCGAATGCCAATGCTCAGTGGAGTTGCCTGAATGGTTAACAAGTCCAAACTTCCAAGCGGATCGTTAATTCCTGAAGCCACTGCTCCTTCCAGTGCTGCTCCACGTACAGCAGCCTCAAACGGATTCATTTCAGAATATATTGCATCCCTTTTGCATATGCTCGTTGCGATATGACGAATCTTTGGAATGTTTGAACAGCCCCCGACAAGTATGACATCATGCACATCTCCCACGTCTATCTTGGCATCGCTTAGGCATTGCTTTATAAGAGACTCACACTTCTCAAAGACATTTCGATTCACTTCCTCAAACGCTTCGCGGGTAAGAACCTTAGATATCTTTGTCCCATTTCCTATGTCGACATCAATTGGAACACTGGGTTCCACGGACAGTTTGTGGATTGCGTCCTGGGTGGCAACTCGAAGCAGTCCCATTCTCTTTATTTCTTCAATTCCATGGCTCAAGAAGAATTTATCCATATCGGGTAAGAGATGATGCATCATATTCTGAAGTAAGTCTTCACCTCCTAATGTGCTTCCCGCCAAGGCCTTTATCTGAGAAACTCCTCCCGCTGTAGCCGTAATAGCTACATCGCAGTAGCCAGCACCCATATTGAATATAAGTGCGATCTTTTCACTTCCGCTGCCCATACTCTCGTGTCCAGACTGTAGCTGCTGCTGTGCATATAGCAGAGCAACTGCAGTGGGTTCGGGCATCAATCTTAGAACATGAAGTCCAGCCATGGCACAGGCTCGTTCAATGCGGGTCAGTTGGAATCGGCTAAATGATACTGGGATGGTCAAAACAACATTCCTTACCGGTCGTTTCAGTCGAATTTCAGCCATGGCTCTCAGTTCAACCAGGAATATTGCAAGAACTTCTTCGGGAGTAGTGGACCTCCACATATTGTTCACTAACGCAGCAATAAATGGTCTGACACCAATATCCAGAGTCTGCACCAAAAACGGAAGGCTTTTGCACGAATGAACAACGGGATCAGTATCAACTCTTCCGATGAGGCGTTTCATATTGAAAACCGCAGCTCCCGACAACATTTCATACTCATGCGTCAACTGATTGCTAACACCACCAGCAGGGACCTCATCCTTGAAGGTCACATAAGATCTCATTAACTTCTGATTTCTAGTATTCCTCACAAGTTCCACCTGAGAGCCATTCCATACTGCAACACTGCATTGAGATGTCCCGATGTCAATGCCAATTGCAATATCCGGCAAAGCTGGTGAAGTTTTTTCCTCTCCGGTTGTTTCACTATCCGATGCAACAGTATATGCTTGTTCAGCCATCACTTATTCAAAGTAGTAATCCTGCAATAAAAACAATTATTCTCGTAGTACTCCAATTCACTCAAAGATTCTTTTATTCACACTTCCACCCACCTAATCTTAGGCTAGAGAACAAGTGAACCATTACAAATAGGGTCAATTGATTCCTCAAATTGGTTCTACTCCTCACTTAACTACATAGTTTTTATTTATTTAATTTCTAAATTATACAAATTTAGTTTTTCTTTGTTGTATAAAAACAGTAATTCTTCACGTTCACACAGGCTTTACATCGAATACATAGAGAGTAGCCAACTATGTTTGAAAAAAATAGAACCAGAGGATGAATTGAAACAAGCTAAGATTAACAATTGTATTGGAAGTGGCCAATTTCATTTGTCAAACATTGTAACGGAAACAACAGAAGCATCATGCTGCAATTATAAACTGATGATTAAATACCAATAATATCTGGAGCCAACTATTCACAAGTTCATAACTCAAGCTGAATAGTATGCACAATTAATAATCAACAATCAAAGCCATACAATATAATGTTCCTCTCATGCATAGAAATCGTAAAGCAGTTGCTTCGAATTCAGAGACTAACCCATTCTTTCTTGACGCCATTCAAACAATGGGTACTAAATAGATAGCAGAAAATTTAAAGAAATTGTTGGAAAGAATAAGGCCAGACATTGGTCAAGTTGCAAAGTCCATTGAAAGATAATAACTTACCGTTGAGTGATAGAGAGAGAGTCGAAGAGAGACAGATGGAAGAACAGCGAAGAGCAGAGTAGACAAAGCAGAATAAGAGAGGGCGAGAGTGTTCTTGAAAAAGAAGAAGAAGAAAGACCAGAGCACCGAACAGTACGCAAAACTGGAGAGGACCAACACTTTCTAGACGTTCCGAGAAACTGAGAGTGGGCTCTTTTTCATTTTTTTTTTTCAAATAGATAGTGCAATTTAGTATTTTTTTTAGGTTAAAAATGTTTAATAAAGTGAAAAACACATACTATTTTATAAAAAAATTGTGAATATTTTTAAAAGAAACAAAAAACTTGAATCCTGGCATTTCCAAACTTTTTTTTAAAATAAACCTATTCATATTATAACATGATTGATGTAATAAACATCATGTTTAGTAATTTAATTTGTACCATCTTCTATATAATTTCAAATGTAAATAAAAAATATATATTTTTAAAAATAAATTATTAATTAAACTCAATTGATATATAATTAAATTAGAATGAACATTGACCATTTGTCGACCATAAAACTGGATCGTTATACGGTGGATCATGGTCTAAAAACAGTATCGTTTTTTTAAGTAAAGAATTAAGTAAAGAAACGGCAATCGTTACATTTTAACAAATCTCATATTTTTTGTTTGCCCAAAACAAAATGAAACTAGTGTATTTAAAATAAAACTGAATAACTTATCTCGTATATTGTGTTTATATTATCAAATGAAACTATAATTGAATTGAAATGATACTTTAGTTGTGTTGAAATGAAACCGCAGTATTTATAAAATGAAACTGAATAATATGTCTCACATATTAAGTGTATATTGTCAAATAAAATTATTTTTTGGTCAGTGTCAAATAAAACAATAATTGAATTGAAATGATACTTTAATTTTTCTGAAATAAAACTACAGTATGTATAAAAAAAACTGAATAATGTATCTCACATTATTGAGTATATATTGTCAAATGAAACTCTAGTTATATCAAAATGATACTTTTGTTGTGTTGTAATAAAACTACAATGCATTATAACAGAGTCGACTCAAAAAACTACAATGTATATAATATGAAATTGAATAACAGTTTAACATATTTGAGTGTATCTTGTCCAATGAAACCATAGTTGAATTAAAATTATAATTTAGTGGTGTTGTAATAAGACTACAGTGTGTATAAAATGAAATTCAATAACAGGTATCACTATAATAGGACTACTGTAAGTATAATGTCAAATGAAACTGTAGTTGAAACAAAATGAAGAAACTTTAGTTGTACTGAAATGAAACTACAATGTATATAAAGTAAAACTGAATATATTATACAAGCAGAACTAATTAGTACACAAAAGACGTGTCGTTTCTTTTCATTAAAAAAAAAATGGATACTATTTTGGACCATGGTCCACACAACCGTTGGTATGTGCACCATGGTCTATAGTAAAACTTGCCCATAAAACCAGGTTTATAGATAAGCACTGGTCCAAATGTTGGGAGTAGGCTACTAGTAAATACTAAATATGGTGGAGTACATAGTTACAGACTTACAGGAGAGTAAATTCAAGCCCAATGGCCTAGCTCATGAGCCCACAATCGTTATGCCATGGAACCGTGTTCACCATGGATGGTGAACACGGTTCCATACGACACCGTTTTGTGTGAGTGGGACTAACGGTGCCCGTAAGTGGCACCGTTAACTCCCACCACTCACAATTTTTTTTTTAATTAAGCGCGCCATATAGCGTTTCAGTTCCCACTACACCACTTTCACTTCCTCTCCACGCAACCTCCATCCCTCTGCTCCCTGAACTCTACTCTCGAACTCTCTGCTCTCACTTCCTCTTCCCCAAGCTCCATTTCCTTCGATCGTTCTCAAGCTCTCTGTTCCACAGCCATTCCTTCGATCGTTCTCGTGTTCCATTTCCCTGTTCTCGCATTACTCGAACAAAACTTCGCGTCCTCCCGTAGCTATCAAAGGAGACAGCCTCTCCATCGCTCATTCTCACCGTTGCTTCACTTGTCTTACAGGTATTTTGTACATGATGTGTTTATAATTTAGGGTTTTTGTATTCTGTGTACATATTTTGAAATTTTAAAATGGGGTTTTGAATGTAAAGTTATGAACTTATGAATGTATATCTGTAACATTATGTATGTGTAGATTAACCATTATGAATTGATTCGTATATTGTTTTTACTGCTGTTTATTCACTATCTATGCAAGCTTTGAATGTCCATAATGTTTATTCACTTATGTATTTTATGTCATGCAAATATGTATTTTCTGTGTGAGATTATGAATTTTCTCATATGAGATTATGAATTTTCTATTGTGACTATGAAATTACGGTTTTGATGTTATGAACTTTCTGATATGAGGTTATGTATTTTCTGTGAGAGATTATGAATTTTCTCATATGAGATTATGAATTCTGCATTGTGAGTTGTGAATTTTCTGTTCTGTAGTTATGAATTTTCTGTTCTGCAGTTATGAATTTTCTGTTCTGATGTTAAGAATTTTCTGTTCCGAGGTTATGAATTTTCTTTGTTATATTATGAATTTTATGTTACTATATTATGAATTATGTGTGACTGTTATTGATGGACAATATATTCTTTTCGGTAGAGCATGGCTGGAATTATTCGGCACTCCCCGTCCCCCCTCTACTGAAATAAAGAATATATTTCCATCAAGCTATATTATATATTGTATATGAGTTACTTGCTTTCTAACGTTTTTAATAAAAGCAATGGACACTGCTCAACGAAAGAGAACATGCTCACAAACAAAGGCAGTCTTAAGCTCTCAAGCTGCACAGCCATCACAACCCTCTCAGCCTACAGATGAACAAAACAATGCAGTCAAAACTAAGACAAAAAACAAAAGACAACGAACAACAAAGGCTGTACTTGACTCGCAAGCTGCTCAACCATCCCAACAGCAGTCTGATGACCTGCTCGAGCAAGAAGTGATTAGAGAAAAGAGATCAAAACAGATAAATGATAGACATAGAGGCAAAGCAGCCATTGAGCAAACTACTGAAGCAGATGGAGGTGATCGTGCAGAAGGGAGTTCTACTTCCTACTTCAGCACACGGATGGGGCCGAAGACAATGTTCAGGCTTGTACAACAGCTAACGCCAGAACAAAAACAATTTGTCCATGATATTGGTTTCGGAGCCCTGTTGGACCTTCAATTGTGTGCAAATGACTCACAATTAGTACAGTATTTGCTAAACAACTTTGAGCTTTTCCAAACACATTTCAAACTGGAGAACGACAAGCTCACTGTTGAAGAAGAAGACATTGAGTACACTCTTGGCATTCCAAGAGGAGAAAAGGTTGTTGTTGAGGGCCCAAAATATGATGAACAGGGGACACCGGAGTACATGGCTCTCTTGCAAAGCTGGAGGCAAAGGTGGAATATTAAACTTGGTTCCCCAATCACTACCAAGATGGGGGATGTCATAGTTCAAAGGGGAGATTATGGAGATGAATTTAAGAGGGATTTCATGGTCTTAACTGTATCATGCATGATGCGGGGATTTCAGACACGCTACTGCAACAACAGAATCCTCAACTCCTTGATTAATGTTGATGAGATAAAAGAATACAACTGGTGTAGCTACACCTACAACTCTCTGATCAAATCCATTGAGAAATACAAGAAGAAAAGTAGTAGCTTCTTTACTGGACCAATGACATTCATATTGGTAAGTTCTAGTTCCACTTATGAAACTTATGATATTCAGATTGTGAATTATATGTGTCAGATTATGAATTTTCCTCTATATGATTATGAATTTTCCTCTATGTGATTAAGAATTTTCCTCTATATGATTATGAATTTTCCTTTATGTGATTATGAATTTTCCTTTATGTGATTATGAATTTAAAGTATGTACTTATGAATTTTATGCTATTTAGATTTTATGAGAATTATGTGTCAGATTATGAATTTTCCTTTATCAGTATATGAATTTTCCTTTATCAGTATATGAATTTTCCTTTATGTGATTATGAATTTTCCTCTATGTAATTATGAATTTACAGTATGTACTTATGAATTTTATGCTATTTAGATTTTATGAGAATTATATGTGTCAGATTATGAATTTTTCTTTATTTGATTATGAATGTTCCTTTATGTGATTATGAATTTTCCTTGTTGTCATTATGAATGTTCTTTTAATGTTATGCAATAATGAATCTCGTAATAGAAAGTTCATAATTGCATAACATAAAATCCATAATATGGAAGTTGAATATAGTGTTCATATTATGAATATAGTGTTCATATGGATTATGAACTTTCTATTATGGTATTATGAATTTTCTGTAATCTAATTATGAATTTTGTGTTAGGATATTATGAATTTATAGTTATAGAATTATGATTATAACCTTTTTTGTTTTACCTTTTTCTTGAACATTGTAGCTATTCTACTTCGATCGGGTCCAATTCAAAGGGATGAGGGTTCAAAGAACATATCCAAGCATTACTGCATGGACTAAAAAACTTGCAAGACAGAGAGTTTCTGCTGAAAAAAGGTCAGGCGGATATGGTAAAGGGAAAGTTATCCCACGTATTGCAAAGCTTGCTGCTGACTGTGCCACTCATGGTATTGTGATAGGAATATTTTTGTAAGTTTTGATGAGCCAAATGTATCTTTAGATCCCCTTAGTTTTTAAGTCTTTAGTACAAGCATCATAAATCAGAATATTGAAATCAGAAGGAATCTACCATAGGAAGAACAAAACCTACGAGTATTCATCCGTGAAAGAAGCATAAAACAATGGCGTTGCAAGGAATAACCGGATGAGCCTAACGGCGAAATGGTAGAGCTCCTTACTCTAAACGATCACACCTGAGATCGACTCCCCCCAAGGACCTATGTTTTTTTTAAGGCAAATTTCAAAAGAGCACGATGTGTCCGAAGGAGCACGATGCTTACTAAAGGAGCACAATGTGACCAAATCTGCTAAGGAGCACAATGCCACCTAAGAAGCACAATGTATCGAAAGAAGCACGATGTTCAAGTCAAAGGAGCACAATGTGGCAAAAGAGCAAGATGATCAGAAATTGGATAAATTCGAAGGAATTTACTCCAAGCCCACCCACATGCCACAAGACTCCAAAATTGCCTGAAAGACATTTGA